CCGCAACTTTTTATCACAAAATAATCAAGGATCCAGACAAATAAAAATGTAAGTTGATAACATTTTTCCAACATCTTATCTATAGCAGACTGAAGCCGTTCACTGATGTTAAACAGGAATCTATGAAATAAATTGTTAGCAGCAGCTAGCCAGATTGCCTCTCTGCTCTGGGCTGTTAATAGGCTCTGAAACTGGTCTTTGATGGAAGTAATCTCTAATTTTACATGAATTTATGGCAATAATTACCCAGGCAGAATGGTTAAAGCATCTGACATGATTGTTAGTTATATTATAAGACAGAAGAATGTAGTCAAAATTACTTGCTATAAACAGAGAGCAGGACTTCTTGAGAGAAAGCTGATGCAGTTTGAGTGAGGGGGAAGCTCTGCTGCCTGATTCTGGTACCTTCCACTGAGAGGGAGCAGTCAGAAGAGGTGCCAGATGGTTGGAATGAATTTATCCATCCTAGGACATAGAGTTCTGGTAGCGTAGTGGTTACGAATCGGGCTGCGAACCTTAAGGTCAGCGGTTCGAAACTACCCGCCGCTCCGCGGGAGAAAGATGAGGCTTTCTACTCCCATAAAGATTTACACCCTCGGAAACCCTGTACAGGGTCGCTATGGGTCGGAACCGACTCGACGACACTTAACAACAACAACAACAAGGACATAGAGTTGCCCCAAGTAAAGGTTAGTTCCCAGACCCTCATTTCTCTGCCCTCATAAAGTGTGTCCTTCTCCTGATCCCCATGGGGTTCAGGAGTTAACGTCTCTCGCTTCAAGGCAATCAGAAGCTCCTCAGAAACCCTAGGCAGGGTTGCTATGAATTGGAACCAACTTGACAGCACTTAACAACAACAACAACAAAGACACCAAAGAGAAAACAGCTGGGGTTGCTCTTCCAGGGCAAATGTTTCTTTATTCACCATCATAACTGAAGGTTCTCCAGTAGCAAGTGATCTGGTAACATGAGAAGTGTCTTTGGATACTTCCCTTTTATGTATTATTTACTTCCTGTTTTCGCTTAGCGCTAAAGGCTTATTTGGGCTGATTTCTGAAATCAATCTGAGTGGGAGTAGAGAAATGTTGCTTAAAAAGCATATGTTGCCACCCTAATCTGGTAGCTGATATTGCACCCTTTAGTCCACCTTTTTAGACCAGTGTTTAGGTACAACTGTCTGGCATGGATGAAGTGACTCCTTCATGGAGTCCTACTGTGAGAAGATTTTTCCCATTGATTCTTATTGGGATCTCTTATGAGTCTGAACAATTGAACCATCTTATAAGAACAATCAAGATGGCAGATCGGGTAGATGTGCAGTGAGGAGCTCCATCACCAACAACACAGAATACCGGGCAAAGCAGGCTCAGGGGATGGTGCTAGAACTCTGAACCACATGTAAAGGAATATTTAGAAGATTGGAAGGCTTACAGCTAGGGGAATTTGTAGGAGAATCAAGAAATCCATTGTTTTCTAATTCAAGACACTCAACTATTCCTGGAGCCGCCATCTTGGGACAGAATAAGTGGGAGAAGGACCAGAACAGCCACGAAAGCCTGACAGAACCGAGGAGCTACAGGTGTAGACATTCTTTTTTTGGTATCTGTCCATTGTTCATTGGTCTCTCGCTGACTGCACACCTCTATTCGGGTAACTAGAGGGGATACCTGAGTGAATGGATATCCCACCTCCACCCCTGGAGGGTTCTACTATGCATGCACACAGATCTCCTCGAAATTTAAAGTGACAATTTTGACATAAAACCAAATGGCCACAACTCGTCTGTCTGTTGTACAGTGGTGGCTTGTGAGTTGCTGTGATTCTGAGGGTTATGCCACTGGTATTTTAAATAACCAGCAGGGTCACCTATGGTGGACAGGTTTCAGATGAGCTTCCAGAGAAAGACAGACTAGGAAGAAAGAGTGACGAACTACTTCCGAATCTTTAGTCACTGAAAACCTATGAATAGCATAGAAACACTGTCAGATACAGTGTCAGAAAATGAGCCCCTCAGGTTGGAAGGCACTCAAAATGGGACCGCGGAAGAGCTGCCTCCTCAAATTAGAGTTGACCATGATGGCGTGAATGGAGTTAAGCTCGTGGGAGAAAAGCCCACAGAACCTTCATTTACTGATGGGGCACAACTCAAAATGAAGAGAAACAGCTGTAAACATCCATTGAAAATCGGAACATGGAATGTACGAAGTATGAATCTGGGAAAATTGGAAGTTGTCAAAAATGAAATGGAACACATAAACATTGATATCTTAGGCATTAGTGAGTTGAAATGGACTGATATTGGCCATTTTTGAATCTGACAACCACATGGTTTCCTATGCAGGGAATGACAAATTGAAAAGGAATGGTGTTGCATTCATCGTCAAAAAGGACGTATCGAGATCAGTCATGAGGTACACCGCTGTATGTGATAGGATAATATCCATGCGCCTACTGGGAAGCCCAGTTAATACCACTATTATTCAAATTTTGCACCAACCACTAAAGCTAGTGAAGATGAAATAGAAGAATTCTACCAACTTCTTCAATCTGAAATTGATCAAACATGCAATCAAGATGTATTGATCATTACTAATGATTGGAATGCAAAGGTTGGGAGCAAAGAAGAAGGACCAGTAGTTGGAAAATATGGCCTTGGTGACAGAAATGATGCTGGGGATGGCATGAGAGAATTCTGCAAAACCAGTGATTTGTTCATTTCAACGAACCTTCTTTAGACAGTGTAAGAGACGACTATACACATGGACCTCACCAGATGGAATACATCAAAATCAAATTGACTACATCTGTGGAAAGAGAAGATGGAAAAGCTCCATATCATCAATCAAAACAAGGCCACGGGCAGACTGTGGAACAGACCATCAATTACTGATATGCAAATTCAAACTGAAGCTGAAGAAAATGAAAACAAGTCCATGAGAGCCAAAATATGACCATGATTTTTCCCACCTGAATTTAGAGATCTTCTGAAGAACAAATCTGATACATTAAACACTAAAGACCGAAGACCAGAAGAGTTGTGGGATGACATCAAGAACATCATATGTGAAGAGAGCAAAAAGTCATTAAGAAGACCAGAAAGAAGGAAAAGGTCAAAATGGATGTCAGAAGAGACTCTGAAACTTGCTCTCCAGTGTAGAGATGCTAAAGCAAATAGAAGAAATGAGGAGATCCAAGAGCTGAACAGAAAATATCAAAGATTAAAGTCAAATATTACAACAAAATGTGCAAAGATCTGGAATCAGAAAACCAAAAAGGAAGAACACACTCAGCATTTCTCAAGCTGGGGGAACTGAAGAAAAAATTCAAGCCTCGACTCTTGTTATTGAAAGATTCTCTGGGTAAATTATTGAATGATGCAGAAAGCATCAAGAGAAGATGGAAGGAATACACAGTCACTGTACCGAAAGGAAATGGTTAATGTTCAACTGTTTCAAGAGGTAGCATATGATCAAGAGCCAATGATATTCAGGGCGGAAGTCCAAGGTGCATTGAAGGAATTGCCAACAACAAGGCACCAGGAATTGATGGAATAAAATTTGAACTCTTTCAAGAAAGTGAGGCAGCACAGGAGGCACTCACTCATCTCTGCCAAGAAATCTGGCCGAATGATTGGAAGAGATCCATATTTGTGCCCATTCCAAAGAGAGGCGACCCAACAGACTGCGGAAATCATCGGATAATCTCTTTGATATCCCATGTGAGTAAAGTTTTGCTTAAGGTAATACAGAAACAGCTACAACCATACATTGATAGAGAACTTCCAGAGGTTCAAGCTGGATTCAGAAGAGGCCGTGGAACTAGAGATATCATTGCTGATATCCGATGGATCTTGGCTGAAAGCAGAGAATATCAGAAAGATGTTTACCTGTCCTCTATTGACTACGCAAAGGCTTTCGATTGTGTTGAACATGACAAGCTATGGACAACATTGTAAAGTATGAGTATTCTGGAACACTTAATTGTACTCATAAGGAATCTGTACCTGGACCAAGAAGCAGTTGTTCAAACAGAACATGGGAACACTGAATGATTTAAAATTAAGAAAGGTGTGCAACAAGGTTGTATTCTTTCACCATATTCATTCAACCTGTAGGCTGAGCAAATAATCCGAGAAGCTGGGTTCTATGAAGAAAAACATGGCATCAGGATTGGAGGAAGACTCATTAACAACCTACGATATGCAGACGATACAACCTTGGTTGCTGAAAATGAAGAGGGCTTGAAACATTTACTGATGAAGATCAAAGACCACAGCCTTCGATAATGGGTTGCATCTCAATGTCAAGAAAACAGAAATCCTCCCCACTGGACCAATAAACAACATTCTTATAAATGGAGAAAAGATTGGAGGTGTCAAGGACTTCATTCTTCTTGGATCAGCTATCAACACTCATGGAAGCAGAAGTCAAGAGATCAGACAACGTATTGCATTAGGCAAATCTGCTGCACAGGAACTTTTTTAAGTGTCGAAGAGCAGAGATCTCAGCTTGAGGACTAAGGTGCAGCTGACCCAAGCCATGGTATTTTCAATAACCTCGTATGCATGCGAAAGCTGAACAGTGAATAAGGAAGATCGTAGAAGAATTGATTCCTTTGAATTACGGTGTTGGGGCAGAATACTAAAGTGCCATGGGCTGCCAAAAGAACCAATAGACCTGTTTTGGATGAAGTGCAGCCAGAGTGCTTTTTAGAGGCCAAGATGGCCAAACTTCGTCTCTCATAGTTTGGACATATTGTCAGGAGGGAAAAGTGGCTGGAAAAGGATATCATGCTTGGTAAGATGGAGGGTCAGAGAAAAAGAGGAAGAGTCCCAACGAGATGGATTGGCCAGGTGGCAGCATCGATGGACTCAAGTGTGGCAACCGTAGTGAGGTTGGCCCAGGATCGGACATTGTTTTGTTTTGCTGTGCATAAGGTCGCTATGAGTCGGTGCCGACTCGATGGCACCTATCAACAACATGAGAACAGAGTAAACTCACTCTTTAGTGTTCGGAGGCTTATGGGGTGGGGCTGGTGAGATGCAAGGTGGGAGCAGGCATATCGTGGTGGTTTCCTCCAGGCGTTGCTTCTTCTCAGGAATTTTCTCTGCAACTTCTGTTGGCTTTAAGAAGAAGAAGAAGAAAAACAACAACAACAAAATACACAGATCTTGAAATGTTTAGTATCTTCAGACAACCATGTTGTACACATTTTAAAAAGTCAATACTGTAGACAGTTTACTCCTATTTTAATTTCTTGATTGGGTGGAGAATTTAACATGCACATTTGATGGAACAGAAGAAACAGTCAGTCTCACCTTGCTTAGTCCTACTAAGGAGTGATGTGAACCTTTGATTAAAGATGGAGTGATACAGAAATTTCATAACAAAAGTGAAAGAGAATCTGTAATTTCCAGACATTTCTCTCATCAACAGTCCCTCTACAAATGAGTAGTTTGGAACTAACATTGCAACTCTTGACATACATCCTGTCCAAGCAGCATGGGGACTGTGGGTGACTAGAGGTTGCTTATGCAATCAACAACATGCAAAGAAATTAACATGTGCAAGGCATTCCTTCGGACCTTTGCGTGGGCTAGCTCTGAAGGTACACTTTTATCACTGGTTGAACTTTTGTCATCACAAAGAATGACCTAAACTGTGAGAAAATAAATGTTTGTTCTTTCAAAGCCACCCACTTGTGGAACATCCATTCCAACAGTATATGATAACCAAGACAGTAAGGAAGATATCTTCATAATCATCTTTCCTACAGACCATAATTCTTCATGAGCCTTAACTGGCTGCTCACACCATTGGTTGCCAAACCCTGAGCATTTCTAGCACTTCCTCCTTGGTCATGTGAAATCATGCATTCCTCATGGAAGGCAGTGTTTACTTCACTCAAACCTGTAATCCATTGCCATTGGCCTCCTTGAAAATGAGACTTAATACCAAGATAGCCAAAAGACATTCACTGCTAAGGATCAGTTGGGAGGCCTCTAAGAACAGCTTACCTTGTGCTTACGCTTGCCCTTAGGGGCGGGCTTTTCTGCAGCTGGGGCAGTAGTCTGACGCTTGGGTTTTGAGGCAGTTTCTTTGTGGTCTGGTTTGGTGGGTGCAACTTGGAATGAGCTGTGACCAGGTACTCTAGAGAGCAAGTCAAGATTAATCTTCACCCAGAGATTTTTCAGATTCTCATGATCTCCTATAGGAGACAGCAGTTCAGTATGCAGTACAGGGAGGGGTGAAAAAGTTGGCTCCTCATTAGTGATGGTTATGTTATTGTTGAGGTTGTCATTGGTTCTGGTGCTAAGAGTCAGGCTGGCACCACAGGTATCCTTGGATTTGGCAAAGATTCCTCCAGAAGGTAAGACTTTGATCTGCAGGGACTCTTCCTGATCTGTGTTGGAATCAGACGTCGATGAATCCGTTTCAATGAATTCCCGGGACTTAGGCACCGTCTTGCCAGGCCCTCGATACTTCTTCTTCTCACTAGTCAAGGAGATGTTAGGCCTTGGTTCTTTCCTTGGGGCTGGCTTGTGGGCAGTGGCTTTGTTGCGACCTCTGGGTGGATCAGGAAGCTCCACGCTTTCTTTTTCTTTGGGAGTACTGCTGGTAATATTTGGTTTGGGCCAAGGAAAGTCATCAATGCTGCTGTTCTTCTCCGTCTTTTTGGGCTGTTTTTTCCCGATTGTCCTTGGAGAGGATGCCTCAAGGGTTGTTGATAATTTATGCTTCAAAGCCTTCGTTTCTGGGTTTTTCAGTGTGGGCCGTGGACGGGATTTCTCCCGAATGAGAGTGAGGAGAGGTCGTCTCTCTTTGGGTTCAGCCAGGACCTGGCTGGGGTTCGTCTTCATTTTCACCTGGGCTTCTGTTGGTTGGATGATTGGAGGAGGCAGAGAAATTGTTTCCATTGGTGTTTCATTTTGTCCACAAATGAATGACTTGTTCTGGGATGTCACTTTGTTAAGCCATTTATCCAGCTGCCACTTGTTGGTGGAGGGTGGCTCAGGCTGCAGATTGAGACAAGCAGGAAGAATTAATTTAACATTTAGGAAGAATGTTAAATGTCCAGGACCCAGATTGAATGCTACTAAAGCTTTGGATTTCAAGTGACCACACTCACACACACTCATGCACAAACACTCCACATTAATCAAATTACCCAGATTGCCAGAAACTCCATAAAATCACCTTAGTCTATTTATTCAAACTAATTTCTCCCTTCCTCTGAATGTATTGTCTGCTTTGGCCAGAAAGGAGAAATTTATTCCAGAGAGTGGGCATGGGGACCTTGCAAGGAAAACTATTCCCACAACCCTTTGGGGGACTCATTACTCAACCTCTCACCGGGAATCAGAGGTAATGGTGTCTAATACTGAAGGGAAATGTACATGGGCCTCCATCTGCCAGAGTGCCATGCCTCCTGTATGATGCTGTCATCCACAGCACACACAGAAGGCCCTTTGTATTTCTACTGAAGGATGAAAATAGCTGACTTTCCAAAAGACCCCTGCACTTTCCTTGGTGTATGGGCAATAACAAATTTAGGGGGACATGCATGCAAACATTAGCATCCACTGTTAAGGCATGAAAATGAGACGTTCAATTCAGGTCCTTGGTTTCCACCTCGAAATCCTGCTGGTTGAACTGAAAGAATCATTTTTATTAGAAGCAATCTTTTGAAAGCCATCAGCTGAGGCTCATGGCACTGGCCAACAGAGGGTGACAGAATTTAAAACACTCGAGTAGCTGTGACCCCAACCTACACAGGACAATGGTGGGTAGGAGGCAAGCAGTCTGTACTGACTGCCACTGTGGGCAGCATAGCCCCAGGGTTCAGGACACCTGCTTGGATAACATCCTAACTTGTCTACCTGTGAGAACATGCCAGAAGTTCTTATGTAACCTCTCTGAACCTGATTCTCTCATGTGTACCCCATAGGGTTATTATGATCCTATCTCAGGCCCTTCCCAAATGAGAAATGCTACTAGGCAAACACTGGTTTCCTAACTCTTAGAAAAGCAGGGAGACTATAAAAACCACGGATAAAAACATGTTGGGAGAATAAACTCATATTACCAGACATTCACTTTACGCATGATCATTTCTTTTCTATGTGATGGGCAAGTGACAGATCTGTGGGTATCTTAGCAATGGGGGCTTTAAATGTCTCCCAAACTTCTCCCTTACTGTTGTCCCTAGTCTTTCCCTTTTGCCTGCAGTTGTCTCCACATATATGCCATTTTAGTCCCTCCTCCTTGGAATGGAGAAAGGCCTCAGAATGATCAGATTTCAGAAAATGCAAGGAAAGTGCATTGTAACATGCCTGGCTCATGGCTCATGTTCAACAAATGTAGCTGTTCCTTGGAAACCTTATACAGGTTTGCTCTGAATTGGAACTAACTTGATAGCATTTAACAACAATAACAATTATTAATAGTATGGAGTCCTGGTGTCACTATGGGTTAGGCATTGGGCTGCTGACCACAAAGTTGATGGTTCAAATCCACCAGCCACTCCTCAGAATAAAGATTTATAATCTCAGACACTTTATATAGGGTCACTATGAGTCAGAATTCACTCCATGGCAATGGGCTTGTTTCAGGTTTGTTAATAATAGTGGAGTCTCTGGGTGGTACAAACAGATAGTATGCTTGTCTGCTAACCAAAAGTTTGTTAGTTCAAGTCTACCTAGAGGTGCCTTAGAATAGAGGCTTGTCAGTGTACTTCTAAAAAGTCAGTGTTTGAAAACCCAATGGAGTAAAATTCTACCCTGACGTACATGGAGTCCCCATGCGTCGGAGTCCACGTGAGCGTGACTGGTTTGTGTTGGAATTCTAACTGCTAGATCTGTAGTGACATAATGTAATGCAAAAATGTCATGCTAATGAGGCCATACTAGTGTAGGGTGTATCCTAACGTAATCACTTCTGAGCTATAAAAAGAGCAGATAAACTCAGAGACAAGGAAGTACAGACAGAGAAGACAGATGCCACATACAGATCACTAAAGAACCAAGGACTTACAATAGCTCAAGGTTACAAGGCTCTTCCCCCAGGCCTACAGAGAGTCCCCTGAATTCAGACTTCTAGCTTCTCCGAACTCTTAGAAACGAAATGCCTGGTCGTCAAAGCCACCCCTGTGGTATTTGTGTTCCTGCAGGCCTATGTAACTAAGACAGAGTAGATCAGGGACACACACAGACATACTGGCTAGGGCCCCACCCACCTCTGGAGTGGCCACACGAGGGGCTTCATTGGATTCACTGTCTGTGGTACTGCTTTCGGTATCTGAGTCGGACTCGGAGCTGCTCTCTGAGTCGCTGGAGCTTCCAGATCCTCCATTGGCTTGCACTGTGGGTGGGAGTTGAGGTGTAGCCACCAGTAGGCTGAAAGAAAAATCATATCATTCATTGCTTAATTCAGTCTCAAACCAGATGGAGAACAGTCCAGTAAGCACATGCTCACCAAGGACCTGTGATCCTCTAGCTAGGCAGGGGGGTGGCACTGTCCCCATGGAACAAATGGAAAACATGAGACTCAGGAGCCCCTGTGATCTCCCCAATGGCAAAGGTTTGATCAGAAGCAGGGTTGAATGTGGGTTCCCTGAGTTTCATCACACTGCTGCCGTCCCAGGAAAGCCTGGACCACATCACTCCATGTGGAAACTTACCCACCCACTGTGCGCAGACACAGAAGTATAGCCATCCATTCTCAATGATCCCATTTTGCATTTTCGTTTTTATGTATACAACTTTTTCTTTTCTGTTGCCATCTTACAGTACAGTCCTATCTCTAAGAAAGGGGGAGCTCAATGCCTTATTTTGAAATCGAGGACCTGTCAAAAAGCCAACTAGAAACTTGGCCTCACAGCTCCCCACAGGGCTGCAGCTACACAAGGCACACCCACTGTGCTGTATCCAGGATCCAGTCCTGATGTGACTAGACTTGGACCTCTCTTGTTATTTGTTGGGCGAATGAATAAGGAAATGAGACGAGACCCCCCTCTCTATCATAATTCTTTAAAAAAACCAAAACTTTTTACTGTGAATTGGGCAAGGTTTACAGAGAACCATCTCCAGAATGAAGCCTCACTCCTCTCACTTTCTTCTTGTGTTTCCTGTCTCCATTCCTCCTTCTTTCCTAACCCTTATTACCTTCTAAATTTTGTTCTTGGACAAATGCTGTTCTTTTGATCTCAAATGGCTAATTGTTGTAATGAGTGGGTGATTCCCTAGTGTTATTGTTCATCTTACAGGTTTGTCTATTGTTGGTCTGAAAACTGAACTATGGGGGTGAGTTCAGATCTTGGTTTAAAGGGTGACTAAAGCCATAGTTCTGGTAGCGTAGTGGTTACGAATCAGGCTGCTAACCTCAGGGTCATCAGTTCGAAACTACCAGCTGTTCTACAGGAGAAAGATGAGGCGTTCTGCTCCTGTAAAGATTTACAGCCTCGGGAACCCTGTACAGGGTCGCTATGAGTTGGAACCGACTCCACGGCACATAACAACAACAACAAAGCCATAGTTGGACAGTGAATAAGGAAGAACATAGAAGAATGGATGCATCGAGTTATGGTGTTGGAGGGCAATAAAGTACCATGGGCTGCCAGAAGAACAAATAGATCTATGTTGGAAGAAGTACAGCCAGAGTGCTCCTTGGAAGTCAGGATGGCCAGACTGCCTCTCTCATACTTCAGACATATTGTCAGGAAGGACCAGTCCCTGGAGAAGAACATCATGCTTGGTAAAGAGGAGGGCCAGAGAAAAAGAGGAAGACCCCCAAAGAGATCAATGGCAGCAACAATGGGTTCAAACGTAGCAACGATTGTGAGGTTGGCCTGGGACCAGGCAGTGTTTCATTCTGTTATGCATAGGGTCACTATGAGTTGGTACTGACTTGATCACACCGAACAACAACATTAACAAAGCCATAGTCTCAGAAGCTCTATCAGTATCCATCTGAGCAGTAAGCCTGGTCTTTTTGTTAACTATCATAATTTTTGTAAACTCTTTTAAAAAACTCTTACCAGAAAGTGTGCTAAGGGACTGGTTATCTCTCAGGTTTGATTTTGCATATGGAGAGCTGACTAGGCAAACCATGTGAAAGTGTACACCATTGGCAATTCTGTCTTCATATATCATTGATATGCCTCCTTAAAAATCCTTTGACCTTTGGACTGAGTTTTTCTTGTCTTTTCTCTTCTTTGGGGCTCAAAACTTTTGAGAGTGTTCTTATTTCCCCTCTGTCATTTCACCCATTTCTTACTTGAGCGCCCAGCTTGGCTTGGGGTGAGAGGTAGACTGAGCCTCACAGACTCCTAGCTCCTAGCCGTGTGTCCCTCCTCACACGCACACACCTGTTCCTGGAGGTTACCTACAAGGGGACTACCAAAGGTTTGTGGAAACAATATATTAACTTTAATTTTTCTATGAACTTATTGAAGCCTCCTTGTATATTCTCACCTCTAAACCTGGGAAAGGGGGACTTCAAGGACCCTCCAAAAACTGGTACCCCAAAGAGTTCATGTCTCCATCCTATTCCCGCACCTTAGCTTCTTCACCAACACCGCAGCTTTTCGCCACTGAGCTGGAGCCATGCTCAGGAACAGGACTGCTTTGAACCTGGTTTAGTCTTTGTATTCGCCCCTACCCTGTGAGAATGTCTTTTCATTCCTTCAGCCTTCCATGTCTTTGTTGTTGTTAAACGCCATAGAGTTGGTTCTGACTCATAGTGACCCTGTATAGGGTTTCCAAGGAGCCCACCTTGCGGTTCACAGTCTAGTGCTAATCCTACAGACTTCCCTTTATTCTTCCAGGTAGGCCTTATCTTTCATATAATGGAACACATTTTAGAATGTTATCTGCTAAGTAAATGCTACCAAGTGATTAGGGGAAGCACAGGGAAATCTGTATCCCCCGGGATGTGTGTGTGTGTGTGTGTGTGTGTGTGTGTGTGTGTGGGAGAGAGAGAGAGAGAGAGAGAGAGAGAGAGAGAGAGAGAGAAAGCAAGTGAGATCAAATGAGTGTAGGGGAAGGGAACCTACAATTCAGAGTTTTTATTCCTCTACATTATTTTGCTTTTTTTTTTTTAAACATCACTAATGACTCCACAAGGAGCTCTGGTAGTGTAGTGGTGCTAACCTCAAGGTCAGGAGTTCGAAACTACCAGCTGTTCCGCGGAAGAAAGATGAGGCTTTCTGCTCCCATAAAGATTTACAGCCTCAGAAACCCTGTGCAGGGTCACTATGAGTCAGAACTAGCTCCACGGTACTTAACAACAACAACAACTACGACGACGACGACGACTCCACATTTATGCAAAGCACATTTCAAATCAAAACAATTGTTTTTGAAGTTAGTTATTGAAGAAGTGTATCAAAGTGGAGCTAACCCAGACCCTGTGTTAACCTGGCTTCAATTCTATCCAGTAAAGTTTCAAATACAACAGAGAGCCTCTCTGATACTGAAAAGAAGGTATTGGACTGAGGGAGAAGACTGATTTTTGACCCATGTTTATGATTTTTAAGTGAAAAGGCCATGTCTTAATTGTTCTTTCCATCTAATTGATGACTCATAATGTCACCCTAATATTGCCCAATAATAGTCTAGATTTACTATGGAATATTTCTGCATAGATTTTCTGTTTCATATGTATTATTAGATTAGTTTTGAGCAACTTCTATAAGAAACAAAACAATCACAAGGATTATTCCAACAAAATCAAATGTATTCTATTAAAAAACAGAAGTTTTTATCAACAGACATTTTTATCAAACTCATTTCTTACATAAATCAAAAGAAATGCTTCATGGACTTAGTAGGAGATTTGGTATGTGTCTGTGTGTGTTTCCCCCACAGCTCTTGGGGGAAAGATGCATATTTTGATGTTCAGATTGTTTTAATTTAAGAAGACAATGTGGTGAAAAAATACCCTATCTGGAGCTGTAGGATAAGCACTAGGGTGTGAACTACAAGGTTTGTAGTTCAAATCCACCAACTGCTCCTAAGAAACCCTGTACAGGGTGGCCATGATTCAGAATCTACGTAATGACACTTAACAACAACAACATATATAATACCATAGTGGGGTCTTGAGAAGCACCCCTTAAAAAGCTCATTAACATCATTGTAATTATGTTATTGCAGCAATGTTAATAACACTCACAGTGAGACTGGAAATTATTTTCCTTAAAACTTCTTACAGATCAATCTATTGCTGTGTCCACACCTCAGATCCCATGCCCAGTCAACGTTGATGATGACCACTTAGGGAAAACTAGTGTAGGTAAAACAGAATGACGTATATCACCTTTCATACATCATACCACAGTACTTTGTAATACTGATAGACATAGATACTTGAGGATAAAGACAGACTCTAATTCAGAAAGGATATCTTGAGAACTCAGACTTGGGGTGAGGGACTTCAATGCCTTAATGAGAAATCCCTCATCTCTCTAGGCAGTGTTTGTGGGAGGGAATGACACTGGTTTAAAATGACAGCAAAATTACTCTTTTCAGAATTTTCCTGTGCCTCTACTACCCACCTGCTGCTCATGGGGTTGTTGGAGTATCTGGTTGCACCAAGTCTGCTGAGGAATGTAAGGTATGGATCTAAGTCTCGATCTCACTGCGTATAGGCCCACCAGACACCCAGTGGGCTTCTCCCAGGGACAAAACATGAGTGTCAAACTGAAACACTTCAGGGACAGGGACATGACCACAGAGAACTAGAGTGAAGAGTGAAGTGTCCAGCTGATATGAAGTAAGGGGAGATGCACAAAAACACCCAAACTTGCAGATAGTACCCAATTTGACCTAGCTTCGATGGCTCAGAACTTGACTAGAGGAAGAAAGAAGAGAAAAAAGTGTAATCTGCTACAATTTGATGAACTTGACCTATACTTATGGATGCAGTAGCTTGAAAGAGGGAACAAATCTTTACAGTAAGGATCATTCCCACCCCCTCTGTCCACAGGGTTGACAGGGATGGGCAACGTAGACATTGGCTACTCCAAATGCAGAGACTACAAAGGCACAAAGTGACTGGCTTACAAGTTTTCAAGAGGGAGCTTAGTTTCAGATGGTGCTGGGGAAGGTAGAATCTCCACTGAGTGGTTTCCAACCTGTCTAGACAGGGCTGGTGAAAGGAGATGGGGATAAGACTTTTGTGGTTCAGTAGTGAATAACTGATATCAGTACTGACTGTGAGTGTTGAAAATGTAAAGGAAAACAGTTTATAATAAAAGGTTGGGAGTGGTTGATCTTGCAGTCCAGGGGCAGAGGATCCTGGGACCATAAAGGGATAAGAGCAGAGTGCGGGACCCTATCCAGAGAAGCAGTGATGCCAGAGATGAAGGCAGAGACGATGATATGGAGAGATGGAG